TGAGTGCTTACCAAACCTCCCAAGTGCATCCATAACTTAATAGTGTACGCTGTGGTGTTTACCATTTGTTTTATAACATAACATTGATACATTGTAGCTAAAGAGTTCCCTTTTATTTAACAAATCTTACTTGACCAGAAAAAACAATCGCGTGCGGAAAAATAGTCTTTGCATTTGCTCACGTCAGCAGCTTACACCCATGGGCAAATGAGGGATGCTAAATTGACCAATCAGAGCGCGCGCTTTACTTTGGTTATGTTATAATGGTATATGCTAACTACTAAATGCAGTAGAAAACATGACTGAGTCCTCCAAAAGGTAAGGTAACAGAACTCTTTACACCTCATTCTTTGCAATTTGACATTTGTGAATGGATTTCACATTCAACACCACTTTAGTAATACAACCAAGAGAAGAAATAAATTTTCCTGCCCACTTCCCCCAATTTACTTTGTCTCAGCTCACTTCAGGAGACTTCACAAATGCAATAGAAATATAGACATGGGTGACAATACAATTTAGAATATAATACACAAAGGAAATGGTGCTCGGTAAAATGCTCACCTTACTATCACCACTAAAACAAAAATCCAATTCATTAAGATATTCCCTAATCCAATCTTACTTCAGAAATTTTTTAAAATCTTTAACTTTATGTACTTGTATATGCCTTGTATATGCATCCATGTGACTGCCTGTAAAATATATTTACAGAAAAAATAAAATTAAAAATCAAAGATTCAACCCATAATTCACTATCCAGATTATTGACTTTTTTTAATTTTTTTTTCTCAAAAACAAAAATGCAGACATCAAATTATGCTATAAGGACAAACACCAGTCAGGGTAATTTTGCACACTACACACACTTTAAGTTGAGCTGAGAAAGTGTCTGAAAAGATTTTGGCTATCCTCTGGTGTCTAACCACTACAAATTGGTACCAATTTGGTGCATCCCCTTGAAAACTGTTTCATTTAATGAAAAACCCCCTTTGCCCCATGCATTTTCTCTAACTCTTAGAGGGAGAGGAGTATGGCATTTTCCTCATTAAAATATCTTTTTTAATATCATAAGTACTGTATCAATACCTAATGCCATACACTTTAAAATATGTTCATGTATCCCATGAACTAAAAGGAACTCCAGAAGTATTATGTCGAGACAACTAAGGATGCACGTTAATCTTTTAGCTCCCATAAGTGATCAAGACAGAATTTCTCCCTACAACAATCTAGTATCAAGGAGAAAAGCAATGGGAAAGAAGAAATATGTCTATTAGAGGATCATTAGTTGATCCAATACAAAACAATCAAGAATTGGCAGACGGTATGGAGAATAACTGGTGAGATCTTGGGAGTGAAAGGGTTAATTATTCACCTTCGGGACAGCATGAGTCTTCAACACCCATGTTGATTAAAGTTATGTCTTCCTCCTTCACTAACAACAGCCTGTTTTAATAGGTAATTCTATATATTATTATCCAACTACACCCAGACGAGTACAAATAATGCCATAGACGAGTACAAATATCATGCAGTATTTGTACTCGTCTATTGTAGTACCAGTTAAACAGGTTTTCTTGCATCATGCGAGCGAAGAATTGGATTGTAGTTACGAAAAAAAAAAACAAATGACAGACAATTTGAATCATATTTCCGACGACAAAGAGTCAAAATGGCTGGCAAATATAGATCCAAGTTCATTAGATGAATCGAACGAAGAAAAACAGCTTGACAACCAGAAAATTTCTTCATTTAATGAGAAAATAGAACAGTAGCACAACAACGCGCCAATTCCGTTCCGCTTCGCATACTTCCGTCCCGTATTCCCCATAAATAATAAATATCCGCGAAATTCGCCCGCACTGAAATAACAGTTTGGCGTGTTGGATTATAAATAACTTATGAGACATTTTGTTGTGTAATATCACTGAGTATTTTTACTCGTTATTTGTATTTTGACGAGCCCGTATTGTATTTTGACGAGCCTGTAGGGCTCGTCAAAATACGGCACAACTCTTAAAAATACTCAGCGATACTACACAACAAAACGTCTAATAAAATATATTTATTCAAGGAACTGTCTCCCAGAGCAGTAAAATATTCATCTGATTATCAAATTGATGTTGGAAAAAGTAACCACTACACAATATTATAACCTGCTTTTTAAAAGATCAACATTTAGGCAAAGCATCATGTTCATAATCAACTAAATGATTCAGTTCTTTACATTAAAATGAGTAACCCACCAATTGCTATTATTTCATTATAGAAATTGTTATAACTGGCATCCACTTCTTGAATAGTGCATAGATAAAAAATGGAAATGTATCATGTAGTGCCTGGCAAAACTGTACACTTTGCAGACAGGATTTCAACATACCCCCTTCATTAATTCCTTTTTTTTTTTTTTTAACACAAGCTTTCTCACTATTATAGTTTTTCACATACCAACCTTTACAATTTGACACCGCAAAGAAATTCACAAAAATGTTGGTACCGTAATTAAATTTCAACATTTGACTTTCTATACCAGCAAAACCTTTAAACTTTTCCCTAAATATGTCAGTGAAAAAACTTCAACACTCGACTTTCTATGACACCAAAACCTTCAATGACAATAGCATCATTTTTAACGTGCAATGTGGCAAATGCATTGGAATCAAGAGGTGCTGTAATAACACCCTCAAAAGTCAAGTGATGGATACCATGTTTGTCCACGAAATAATCATCATAGTGAGTGTGACCATGGAAACAGGCGACCACACATCCAGACTGCCACAGCACCTTAAGTACATCTTGGTAGTTCCACAGCAGATCTACTGCACCCCGTCGAGGTCTGTTTCCTGGAGAGATTGGGACATGGCTGAAAATAACAGCTTTTTGACCATTTTCTATTGCTACTTCCAGGACTGCCTGCAGCCACTGAAGTTGCATAGGACCGATTCCACCATTGTACGCTACAAATCGCCTGTTTAAGCCGTGAAGACCATCAGCACTATCAAGGTCGCCATTCTTGTTGTATTTACGCACCATCGCCAAGGCATCTTTATATGTGGAACTAGTTTCGTCAAAGCCATGAAGGCTCGTGTCATAGCTATCCAAGTACACAAAACAAAATTTGGGATGAGGTACAAACGAGAAGTAAAATGGTTTCGTCTCCTCCTCACTTACAGCAGGCAGGCTTTGGTGCTTGCTCAAATATTCAGAACTTTCACAGCTGTTGAAAGGGTGCAGAATAGATGCTGAAAGTTCCTCGCGAGAAAAATTGTACAGCTCGTGATTTCCTAAATTATGAAACACGGGTATTTCTGGAGGAAGTTTTGAAAATTCTCTCATCACTAAATCCAATGCGTCTTGAGAGGAGTTTCTCTCGCTATCGTTTGCGTCATTTAGATCTGTATTAAAGCCATCGATTATGTCTCCCAGTTGTACGATGAACGAGAGCGACCTGCTTGGTCTGATCCAATGGTCTACGGCTTCTTGCAGACAACAGAGAGCGTTTCGGTATCTACGCCACCTAGTCTTCGCAGAGTTTTGTCGATCGCAAATATCGGCATACTGGATGTCAGTGATAAGGCCAAATGAAAATAAAACATCAGTATCGCCATTAGTCGGATCCATAGCTGCTTTGCCCCAGCCAACAGTTCTTACGCCCAGCGGTAGACAACTAATAACACCGCCGACAGGAATGAAAAACGTCTGCGCATGCGTTACAGACCCGCGGTAAGAAACGCGGGCTCAGATAAACTCAATAAATTTTGCGGGAAACGAACAGCCGTTACAAAAGTTTAAAAAATAAGGAAGCCGTTGAAAAGATAAGGTTTTAATTATCATTTTTTGAAAAGAAGAAAAGAACTTTAAAAAATTGAGAGGGTGTACAAATTGTACAAAACTTGTTCTCGCGCCGAAAAACGGTCTTTTTTGCAAAGTTTCAATACAGTTGCGAACTGGCTCAATTTGCGGCAACGTTTACAGTGTCGTGTTGACTTTTTCTGACCACTTTTTCGTCCGTTCATGCAAAATGTTGGTTCTTCGGTAAAACAAGGAGCAGTAAAGATGCTTTTTACGGCACTTCTAAGCCCCTGCGACTTGGTTTGTCAAGAGCTGTGCCCTTGCCTGAAGAAACTCCAGTTTGTTTACATCATCGTCGAACGATCGAAATTCGAAAAGCAAGATAGTCGCTGCTTATCGTAGTTTTCCGACCGACATTCCAATTGATTAAACTTAATTTCCGTAAGCCTTTTCGAAATTTTGGACATAAAGGGAAGAAAGAAAGCGAGATATCAATCAGGGAGCAAGTGGAGTGACGCCTGAATAAAATTTTAACAAAGTGCCGAAGGAGACTGAGGTATAGCGATAACAGATGGATTTCGTTGTGAACTATGTTGACTCAAAATCATGCATTTGGTTTTGTTTTGATTAAATCTAGGAAAGTGGCTCTTTAGGATTGGAAAAATTACGAAAAAAGAAGCCATTTATTTTTTAACCAAAGTTAAATATCTATCATTGCAAAACCAATTACTGTTAATTTTACATAGGTAAACTTCCACTATTTCAATTAAGCTAATATTGGAGAGAGGGAATTTTTCTCTCATCAATATCTTGCAATCGTTCCATTATTTACTGTGTTGTCAAAATAGCTCAATTAAGTTTTCATAACATTAAATTATTTTGGAATTTACTTTTGTCTGTTATTATCACCATTCAAATTCAAGACAGATACCAGTAAACCAATTGTCAATCAAATCAGCTCAGACCAACCCATCCTTAACTCCCATCCCCCATCATGTCAATCAAAAATATTCAGTTCAAAATTTTTTTTAACTCAAAAATTCTTTTTTTGGCTCCCTATACCTAACCTCTTCTATTCCTTTTACCACCTACTTTTAATACTAACCAACATGTTATTCATCTCCCTCATTCCTTTTCCTTTGATTATGACTATCTCATCTTATTTCATTCTGACCTTCCTTCTTATTATTATAAACTTTTGTACCGCCTTGAAGGGGCTGCCTTGAAAGTTGAATATAAAAATAATGAATAAACAAATTTGTAAAAGAAATCTTTAAAAAAACAAACAAGCAAAAAGGGCTCTTTCCAGTTTCCTAGAGACTAAAGATTCCTTTGTGGAGTCCTTTACAATGAAAATATTTCATTTTCCTTTTTTCTTTTCTTGTGTATCTTTTTGTCTTTTTAAGTTGTATTTCTTCATTTTCATTTTATTTCTGGTGTAATTATATTAAGTTAAGAAAAATTTGACCCACTATCTGCAGGTCAAAGGAATACCTTGTAGATATATAAGAAAATAAAATAAAAGTGTGGATGTGTGGACCTTTAATGCTAGTACCCAATTGAATTACTGATAGTTTTATTTTAATGCTGCCTTATGACTGACATAACTGCTTTGCAGTTTGTAGGTTCCTCAGTGCAAATTCTTTATTTAACAACTAACATTTTATTTTCATCATTTCACACTTTCAACACTTGCCACCCTCACGCTTCCTTTCCCCTTATTAACCCACTATTTTTGTGGAGATTTGGGAACCTTTTCATTTGGGATTCCATACTTTTACACAATCCCTCAATCAATCAATCAAGTTTATTGTCTATATGCGAGGCATGGTTACCCAGATTGCCCAAGCCAAAGGTTCATGTATGAAACATAAGACAGCAACCCACCCCAGGGGAGGACATTCTCCACACAGTTATCTCATGTGTGGGAAATTAACATCTCCTACCCCTAACCCTGTAGCAGACAGGGCCTATGGTTTATTTATTGTTATCCGAGAAGACTAGAATGTCTATCCATTTCTTGATATCATAGAAAGGTAGCAAATTCTCCTCAGTTATTTTTAAGACCATGAGTATTGGTCTGGCTGGGGCTTGAACCCTTGACCTCCCCCACAACACAATCCAGCACTCTGACCAATGTAATGCCACAAAGGTTGCTAGATAAATCTATTGCATTTTTTTGAAAAAAGTTTTTCATTCTTAAAAAAGAAAAAAAAAAAACAGTCAATATCCATCCACATCAACATGGCAATCTCACTTTCTGGTTCTTTCTGAGCACTATTTAAAAGTCAACAGTTCTTGGCAGAACAGGAAGCAACTCATGTACACTTATTGCCCTTTTGTTTAGCAAATTGTTTTATTCATCCAATTTGGATATTTCTGTAATAAGAAGTCCACTGAGTCAGGCGTGGGTGTACCAGATAATAATTGTTCGAGGAATCTTACTAGGCAACAGGATCTATGATTCAATCACACAAAACTCCTCAAACCTTTGGTGCGCTACAACCTCTGCAAGGCCCTAGAGCACTGAACAGTATCATGGACCATATATTGGTCCTGAACTCCCTGTCAGCATTAATCCTGAAGCAATTCCGGCTTCTGTTTTCAGTTGAGTTCCAACACCATTGTACTTATTCCAACTTTCCCAGGAATTTTTCTTTTTGGTAGCACATCCACGAGAACAATGGGTTTCATGAGGCTTTTGCTGAGTGGCAGCATTCAT